CATGACCTGAGCTGAAATCAAGAATCAGTTGATTAACCTGCTGAGCCACCCAGGCACCCCATATTTTACAATTTTTGGAATGAATTGCCCTTATTAAAAAATTGGTAGGTATTGAGATTTTGGGCTTTTCTTAAAAAAAAAAAAGAAGAATGTAGCAAAACTGGGCGAATATGGGCCCAGTTTTGTTGCATTTTTAATAGAACTTTCCTATGTATGTTTTGTGTTTCACCAATTTCTACTCTTATTTTTTAAAGATATTTTATTTATTTATTTTTAAATGTTTTTTATTTATTTCTGAGAGAGGGAGAGAGGCAGTGTGAGCAGGGGAGGGTCAGAGAGAGCTAGGGAGACACAGAATCTGAAGCAGGCTCCAGGCTCTGAGCTAGCTGTCAGCACAGAGGCTGACACAGGGCTCAAACCCATGAACAGTGAGATCATGACCTGAGCTGAATTCGGATGTTTAACCGACTGAGCCACCCAGGTGCCCCAAGATATTTTATTTTTAAGTAAACTTTACACCCAACGTTGGCCTTGAACTCACAACCCTGAGATCAAGAGTCAGATGTTCTCCTGACTGAGTCAGCCAGGTGTCCCTACTCTTATTTTTCTCTTTGACCTTTGGTCTATAGTTTTCTGTTGCTAAGCTTGGTTGGTATTTGTCTTTGCCTAACTTTGTACCTAGCACTGACAAATCTTCCAGTTTTTTTCTAGTTCTGAAATAGGTTAAATTACATAGGTACCAACCATTTCTTGAAAGTCTTATAGACTTGTCCTCTAAAACTATCTGGGTCTTCTATAGTTTTTTCAGGGAGAGTTTTGATTTACTTTTGTATTTTATCTATGGTTGTTATCTATTTACTAAAAATTTCAAATTCTTATATCAATTTCAGTAATCAATAATTTCTAAAAAATTACCCATTTTTTCCCCTAGATTTTCAAATTATAGAATAGGGTTGCATTGGTTTTGTCTTATAATTTAAAGAATTACATTGATCCTTTATCTTGTATCATGGCTGCCTCTCTCTTTCCTACACTTGTTGATTTGTAGTTTTTTTCTGTTTTGCCTGAGTTCTGTTTTATGGGTCTTTTCAAAGAATCAGGATCTGTTTCCATTGTTGAACTCTATTTTTTAAAACATAGGTTTCAACTTTAACTTAATTGTCCCTTTAAAAATTTTCCATCTGGGAGCTTTCTAGGTGGCTCAGTTGGTTAAGTATCTTGACTATTGATTTCAGCTCAGGTCATGATCTCAGTTCATGGGTTTGAGCCCTGACTAGGATTCTCGCTCTCCTTGCCCCTCCCCCACTCTCATGTGTGTATTCTCTCTCTCTTTCTCAAAATAAGTAAACATTAAAAATTTTTTTCACCCAAATTAGCTGCTGCTTCTTCTAACTTTTTGAAATGAATCTTTAGTTTTTTTTTTTTTAAATCTTTCTTGTTTTGGGCCCCTCGGTGGCTCAGGTGGTTGAGCATCAACTTAAACTCAAGTCATAATTTCAGGGTTCATAGGTTCAAGCCCTGCGTAGGTTCAAGCTGTGCTGACAGCTCGGAGCCTAGAGCCTGCTTTGGATTCTATGTCTTTCTCTCTCTCTACCCCTCCCCCACTCGTGCTCCTTCTCTCTCTCTCTCTCAAAAACAAACATTACATTTTTTAAAAAAATTTACAAAGTCTTTCTTGTTTTCTAAATAAAATCATTGAACTTTCTATTCTCTTCTACTGACCTGTCTTCTTTCTGGTACTACATTATTATAATTTCATTTAACATCTGGTAGTTCTAGTCCTCTTTATTATTATTTTTCAAAAATGTTTTGGATTTTGGGCTACATGATATCTCAAATGCACTATAATTCTTTGATAGCTAATGTCAAAACGTACCCAAATAAATGCCTTTGGTCCCTTTCCTCTAACCCAAGTAGTCTTTATTCTTCTAGATACAAAATCACTCTTTAAAAATGCCTATAATCAGAGTTTGTGAATATAGTGTATTTAAGTGTGGTGTGTGTGTGTGTGTGTGTGTGTGTGTGTGTGTGTATGTGTGTGTGTATGCATGCCATGTGTCTGTGTTGGTGTATGTGCTTAGGATGCATCTGTAGTGTGTTGTATCTATGTGTGAGGTATGCATGTAGTGTGTGTATTTGTGTGTGTGGTATGTATGTGTACATGTGTTTGTGTATATGGTGTATTTGTGTATGTGTGTACACGGGAAGTGTTATGGTGTGTATGTGTATGTGTGTAGAGTGTGTGCAATGTGTGTTTGTACAGTGTCTATAGCATGCTCATGTACATGTGGTGTGTGTGAGGTGTTAAGAGAGATACTGAGGCCCATAACCCGGGGTGCTAGAGGGCTCAGGGCATGCCAGAAAGACAGGCGTGGTCCTAAAACTTCCCCTGCCTTCTTGGGGGAGAGCAGGGCCCAACCACAACCCTTTCTGGATGTCCCCCCCTTCCCCTTTTAGTAACGTTTATTTATTTTTGAAAGAGAAAGAGAGAAAATGAGCAGGGGGAGGGGCAGACAGAAAGACAAACACACAAACACAAGCAGGCTCCAGGTTCTGAGCTGTCAGCACAGAGCCTGGCACAGGGCTCAAACCCATGGACCGTGAGATCATGACCTGAGCCGAAGTTAAATGCTCAGCTGACTGAGCCACCCAGGCGCCCCTTTGGACAGAGTGTGGGTAAATAGGCCCAGTTTCTCCTGAAGTGCCACGGGCCAGGCTCCCGCTCACTTCTGTCCTCCCTCTCCTGAAAAAAGAGTGACCTCCTCCTTTAAGAGAAGGAAGTGTCCAGTCTTCTACTAAGGGGCCTTACCGTTGATGGTTAAGGTGGCGGAGATGGTGCCACTAGAGGGATCAGATCAGGATCAGAATGGCATTGGGTTTTCCCAACAGAACAGGGTAGCTGCTGAGTGGGCCTTTATCCGGAGTGGGGGTGAAGCACCAGTGTGGGCGTCAGTCTTTACCCCCAGGCCACATTCAGATAGTGCAACGCTGTCCTGTTCTTCTGGATCCCCACCCTCCTCTCCTGAGGGTACACCTGTGCTTTGCTCAGTGGTCCCTGGCAGAGCTGTGAAGGGGCCACTGTCATCTGGGGCACATCATCTCCCCTTCCCTGTGGACCCTCCTTTGCCCTGGCTCTAGAACGCCATGTTTTCTAATTCCTACTGGGAAAAAACACTCTCAGGGGGCATCCTCAGGTTATGCCTAACTCATGCTCCCGTCTTGTTCCTGCAGGTCTGTAACACCTGCAGTCTCGGTGTCCTTTCCGCATCCCGTGGCTTGAGCCTGAGGTTGCCCATGTTCCCTGGCTGGAAGGAGGGGCAGGGCCAGCATACCACCCTGCCCAGAAAGGATGCCTGGACTCAGACTACCCCAGCCAGGAGGAGAATCAGGCACGCTCAAGTCCAGGGTGCAGGTGAGTCCATCTGTCATTGGTTGGGGCCAGGGGAGTAGGCTTGCCCCTGCTATGGGCAGAGCTTATGGTGTGGGGGTTGGGTCAAGGGCAGAGCAGGGCTTCACAAAATGCCAGGTTTCAAACAATCCACTGGCCTTTATGTGACTCATTTGCACTTGACCACTAGTTTGATTTCAGGGCTCCTTCCCTCTCTACCCTGTTGGTAGCCAGCTGACCCTTGTGGCCTCAAGTTTCCTTACCTGCCTCAAGAAGGCAAGTCTGCAACTTGCACTTGCTGTTGGCCATGGGCAGGCATGGAGGCCAAAGAACAGAGGATGGCCTTTCAGGCGGGCAGGCCTGGGTTCAAATTTCAGGTCTGCCAACCTTGAACAAGTCACTCACCCTCTCTGCCTGAGGTTCAGATGTATCCCTGGCAGAGTGGAGCTACCACTTCCTAGGATTTCTGTGAAGATGAAATGAGATGATGCGTGTAAATTGCCCCACTCAGCCCCTGGTGCCTGGTACTGAGTACATATAACTCTTCTCCCCATTTTCTCTAGCGTATCCTCCAACCCTGTCTTGAGTGGAACCCCTAGCCACAGATATCCATCTGGCACCTTCCAACACCTCCCATTTTTAGGTTTACATAAGACCAGCAGCTTTCCCTCCCACAGCAGCAACAGTCAGAGATTTGCAGAGCAGATGTCTTGGTGTGAAACTGTTCCCAGGAGGTGTTCTGTGAATGTTTGCTGACAAAGCGGTGCAGGGACTGACCTTCCTTCCAGCTCTGCCTCCTGGTACCCGGCTCTGGCGGTGGAAAGCGCCTACCCCCTGGGCATACTGTGTGTTTCTGTCCCCTAGATACTACTGGGGGCCTGTGTGCCTGTTCCAGGGCACCAGGCTGCAGATGGGGGGCTGTGAGGCTGGCTGGAGCAAGCTGCTTTGGTCTGGACCTGTGTCAGGCTGCTCTCATCCAAGAGGAGGCTCAAGGGGCAGATAGGGCAGATTTTGGGAAGAGGCGGCTCCGAGCACGGAGAACACTTTTCCAAACCCCACTGCACCGGGGATGCTCCTTTGCCCTTGCTCGGGTCCGGTGATTACAGGCCTGAGCTTCAAAGCATGTTACAAACCTGGCTAATTGCCGGCCTGGGGGATCTGGGCGAACAGGCCAAGCCCGCCTGCGTGGACACGCCAGGGGGCCGCGGGCCTCGCATGGCGCTGGCACTTGCATCCCGGAGCGGTCCTGGAGCCAGGAGTCCTGGTGCGGCCGCCCAGTCCTGCTGGCTCCTCGCGGAGGACTGCCGTGGGGAGCTCGGAGGGCGGCCACCCGGGCTGCACCTGTGGCCGCTGCCCTCGCTGTTGAGGCGCCAGCGCCGCCTCCCCTGGGGCCGGCGTCTGATGGGTCAGGTGGAAAGCTCCCCATTCAAACCCGCGCGGGCCAATCAGCGCCCGGCGCGCCGGCCCATTCAAACGCGCGGCCGGCCCGCCGCTCCCGCCTCCGGGACTCGGGCGCGGGGCGGGGGCGGGTGAACCTGCTGCCTCGGTAACTGGGGAGCAACACAGACGCCTCGGGTTACAGGCGCTCCCGGCAGGCGGAAGCAGGGCCGCCATGGAGCGCTCCCTGCACCGCGTCTCCCTCGGGAGCCGGCGTGCCCACCCGGACCTGTCGTTCTACCTCACCACCTTCGGTAAGTGCCCGGGACGGCTGGCTGCCCCGGCTGCTGCGCCCTGCGCCCGGAGAGGTATTCCCCCGCCCCGTGATAGGCGCGGCTGGCAGCAGCGGGTACCTCCTCTGGCCACTTCCTCCTTTGGGTGCCCAGGAGGGGCTCGGGGCCACACAGACTCAGGTTGAGCAAGCCCCGGGGTACCACCTGCTGCCTGGCCAATGGTGCCAAGTGCGATTGGTTGTGTCTTGCTCGGCTGGAATCATCACGCCCCGGTTCATCTTTCAGAGACCCGGTTTGCTCCACTAGAATTTGCCACTAGCCAACAGCTCAGGGTTAAATCAGGGTCTTGTTACTCCCTCTCAAGGTCTCCTGCATCCTCTTCCCTTTGGCCCGGGGACAGGACAGGTGCCAGGTCCCCCCGGGGCCTTGGCTCCTTGCGGGCTCGCCTGGCAAGCTGCAGTGTGACTGCTCCAGTGGATGTCAGACCCGCAGCAGAGACGGGAGAATTCTCTTCCTCAGGAGTGACCTGGTTCTCAGGAGGGTCACGGGGCTGCCCTGGGGGCTTGAGGAGCAGGCCCCTGCCCTCAACCTCCTAGCTGGCAGAACTGGGTTCCCCCAAATAACAGCGGGGCAGCAGTGCTCCAACAGGCTGGGCAAATCCCAGGGAGCCGCAGGAGAGGTAACAGCCCTTCCCAGGAACACAGCCCTTCACAGCTCTGCGTTTCCTCACTGGGGTTCTGTGGAGAGTGGGTATCTGTGGGGGTATTTCCTCTGTGGAGACTTGAAATCCAGAGAGAGGAAGGTCTCCCAGTGAGCCAGACCAGTACCTGAGCTCAAGCCTTCTGAGAGCTTGTCCAGGACTTTCTAAGTTCTCTTTTAAAGGTTGGGGTAGTTACTGCAACATACTGGACTTTGCCCAGGTTTCATGGACAGAACACCCCGGGGGTCAGTCCCCCCCCACCCCCCCAGGCTTCTGGCTCTCCTAGTCTCAGGCTTACCTGCATCAGCACGCTTGGTTCCTTACAAACTCTTTTTCTCTAGGAGCAGAGTTATGATAGAAAAGCAGTGGCTTTGCCCCTAGAGCTGGCCTGTGGTCTGGCATCCTGGAATTTATGGGTCTGGTGGGGGGAGGGAACAATGGAGGTAGTGAAATAGCCACCATCTGTCCAGCACTTCCCATGTGCCGTGCCTTGTGTCAAGGGCTTTATCTCATTTAATCTCCCCAATTCCCACGAACCCCACCGGGATGCGGAAGTCTACCAGACCAGGGAGGTTTCCGGGAAGACCTGAATTCGCGGATCCTGGGTCCTCAGGAAAGTGTCAAGGAGCTGTGAGGCCCGGTGATCTTAGCTGGGTGCTGATTTAAAAGTAAAAAAATATTGGGGTGCCTGGGTGGCTCAGTCGGTTGAGCGGCCGACTTCAGCTCAGGTCATGATCTCACGATCATGTGGGTTCGAGCCCCATGTCGGGCTCTGTGCTGATGGCTCAGAGCCTGGAGCCTGCTTTGGATTCTGTGTGTGTCTCTCTCTCTCTGACCATCCCCCACTCACACTCTGTCTCTCTCTCTCTCAAAACTAAATAAACATTAAAAAAAATTAAAAAAGAAACATTTAAAAAAAGTTAAAAAAAATTTTCATTGTGTTTTTCCCCTCCTATCACTGTAAGATGGTTTCATTGCTGAAACTTTAGGGAAAAGAACAAAGTGAAAAATCACCTGCACTCTGATTCCTTAGAAAAGACATTTATCTTTGTGAGTCACCATTTTGGTCTATATCCTTCCAGACTTGTGTGTGTATGTGTGTGTGTGTGTGTGTGTGTGTGTGTGTGTGTGTTTATAGGGGTGTATTTAATTTTAAAAGAATTGAGACCATATTGTACGTATGGTTCTATAATCCAGTTCTTTTCCTTACTGGTACAGTATGACTATTTCATAGTATTAGTCTATAGTCTTCTATTGAATTAATCATCCTGACAGATCTGGGAAGTTGGGGAGTGTCAGACCAGCAGGGAGTGGATCCCCCTCACCCCGCCGTGGCCTCGGGGCTGGGTCGGATGGTTATCTGGGAAGGTTTCTACTGGAACCAGTGACTGTGACCTGAGTGTACAGCAGCAGGCAGGAACCTCATAGGCTGGAGAGCCACCTGCTCCTAATGTATGCAGTCTCCTCTCAGATCTCTCTGAGGACACAGATTGACACTGGAAAGTTCTCTACTGTTTCCTGCTTAAATTCTATTTCCTTGACAGGCACTGTCCCTTTTTCAGGCTGCTGATTCTCTTCATACACGGAGTGACGTGTGCTTGTCTGGTCATGAACCGAGATTCGTATTAGGGGTTCCCAGAGCTGGTCACTTATCAGAGGCACCTGGAGAGTCTGTTAAAAACACAGATTCCTAGGATCTTCAGAGGTCGAGGGTGGAGCCTGGAAATCTGTAATTTTAAGAAGCCACAGAAGGATTTTAATGACCAGACAGGTTTGGAAGCTGGGGATTTAGTCAGCTTCATAGCCAGCATGAACTCTCTTAACAGGAAGGTCTTTGCTAAGTTTTCCTCGGTTCACGGGCCCTTTACCCACAAGGCAGGCAGTCCTGGCCTTCAGCAGAGGGCTTTGTCCTGGGAGAACCAGATGTAGGTGCTGCCTTGCTGACGGTTGCCTGAGCACACACATTTGAAGGGAGCTAATTCTGCAGGATCACTGGAATTGTAATCTTTAAATGTTTATTTATTTATTTATTTATTTTGGGGAGGGGAGAGAGAGATAGAGAGGGAGAGAGAGAGAGAACAAGCTGGGGAGGGGCAGAGAGAGAGAGTGAGAGAGAAATCCCAAGCAGGCTCTGCACAGCTAGTGCCAAGCCCGATGTGGAGCTCGACCTCATGAACTATGAGATCATGACCTGAGCTGAAACTGAGTCAGACGCTTAGCCAACCGAGCTTCCCAGGCGCCCCCAGGATCTCTGGAGTTAGGAACAGATAAAATTGTTTTCACCAAAATTCCTTTCAGGGAGAGTAGTGTATAGTATGTGGTGAGGTTTATGTATTGTGTGTGTGTGTGCGTGCGCACGTGCACACGGGTACAGCGCCTGGTCCCTCAAGAAGAGGCGTGTTTGAGTAACATGAGTTGATGGTACACTGTCTTCTTCTTTTTATTTATTTATTTATTTTTTTTCTGAGAGAGAGAGAGACAGCGTGAACAGGGGAGGGTCAGAGAGAAGGAGATACAGAATCGGAAACAGGCTGCAAGGTCTGAGCTGTCAGCACAGAGCCCGACATGGGGCTCGAACCCATGAAATGTGAGATCATGACCTGAGCAGAAGTCAGATGCTTAACCGACTGAGCCACCCAGGTGGCCGTCATATACTGTTTTCTAAGGAGGTGCTCTGGCTTCAGGAGAGGGGAGTGTGTATGTAAACTGGGCCCACAACCCACCTCCTCCAGAGATGACAAATGCTCGTTCTGTAGAACGGACAGCAGCTAGCGCTCAGCGCATTGGGCTGGGAGCGTGAGGCCCTGAGCTGGAGGCTGCTGCCGGGGCCCTGCCAGCTGCTCCTGGCTTGCCCCGCTGCCCTCAGCTGGGGACACATGGCTCCTGAACTTGGCTGGGAAGCCCCTCCAACTACTTCTCCGGGGCCCATCATTTGCTGGCCAGGGTCCTCAGCATTTGTTGGCTCTTCTGTCATCTGGGCTCCTTTCGCTTGGGAGTGTTGAGAAATTCTCAGTTTCTGGCCTGTCCTCTTTTCCAATTCTGCTCTATTTTTTTTTTTTAATTAAGAATTTATTAGAGAGAGAGAGAGAGAGAGAAGGAGAATCCCAAGCAGGCTCCAGCCTCAGCACTGACCCTGACATGGGCTTGATCCCATGACCCTGGGATCATGACCTGAGCTGAAATCAAGAGCCTGACTGTCAACCAACTGAGCCACCCAAGCGCCCCACTGCTCTATTTTTTAAACTAAATTAAATTTTTTAATTTTTAAAAATATTTATTTTTTTAGTATATGTGCTGCTGAAGCGAGCACAAAAATATTTATTTTTTTTTATAGAGAGACAGGCAGAGGGTGTGAGCAGGGGAGGGGCAGAGAGAGGGGGGACACAGAATCAGAAGCAGGCTCCAGGCTCTGAGCTGTCAGCACAGAACTCAACAGGGGCCTCGAACTTGCAAACTGTGAGATCATGACCTGAGGCGAAGTCTAACACTTAACTGACTGAGCCACCCAGGAGCCCCATTTTTTTCAAAAAATTCTTATCATGAAATATAACACACACACAGGAAAGCATTGCCCCAAATAACGTGTAGTTCAGTGACTTATCACAAAGCAAATACCTGTGTCTCTTTCAGGAGGATCAAGATTGCTGATACCCAGTTTGACATGTAGTTTTCTTCTATCTTCTTTTTTTTTTGTCCTTCTGAGGCTGAATTTTTAAAAATATTTTATTTACTATATTTTTAAAATTTACATCCAAATTAGTTAGCATATAGTGTACAGTGATTTCAGGAGTAGATCCCTTAATGCCCCTTACCTGTTTAGCCAATCCCCCCTCCCACAACCCGTCTAGTAATCCTCTGTTTGTTCTCCATATTTAAGAGTCTTTCATGTTTTTGTCCCCCTTCCTGTTTTTTAAAAATTATTTTTGCTTCCCTTCCCTTATGTTCATCTGTTTTGTGTCTTAAAGTTCTTATATATGTAAAGTCATATGATATTTGTCTTTCTCTGACTAATTTCGCTTAGCCTGATAACCTCAGTTCCATCCACATTGTTGCAAATGGCAAGATTTCATTTTTGATTGCTGAGTATACTCAATTGCTCAGTATAAGAGCAAAATGTATATATACCACATCTTCTTTATCGATTCATCCATTGATGAACATTTGGACTCTTGCCATACTTTGGCTATTATTGATAGTGCTGTATAAACATTGGGGTGCACACTTCCCTTCAGAATAGCACACCCGTATCCCTTGGATAAGTACCTAGTAGCACAATTGCTGGGTCACAGGGTAGCTCTATTTCAGATTTCTTGAGGAGCCT